GGCCAAATATGCCTTTATTGCAGTGCATTTTGCCATCGAATGGCCTGTGCTCTAGCAGATAACATCTGCGCACAATTGCTACTCCGCATCTTGAAGCTCAGCTTCTTCATTCTCCACTTGACTACAGTCCATGGGTACCGCAGACCCATCAGACAAGTAGTTATAAGTAGCAGGCCTAGATACCTTAAAGTTGGTCTCGCATTCCATGCCACTCCAACAGCTTCCTCGAATGAGGACGGGTTTACCCGGAAGACTTCCGTTCTGGCAACGCCAACTCAGAGGCCCTCCATGAAGTCCGTGACGGTCACTGCCTCAGACATAGGGTCTATGACCATGGCAGCAATGAGAGTTTTCAACTCTTGTACATATGCCGCAAGCTTACGCTTGCCTTGGCGAAAAACCGCGTTCAATTAGGGTGTGATTGGTTTGGCGGTGCATACTGGGTCATCTGAGCTTTCACATCGTCCCATGTGGGAAAAGCATCTTGCAGTGATGCACCACATATGAATACCCATTGTTTGGCTAATCCACCTAACTTGCCCGTGGCAAAGCCCACACGGTACGGTTCATAGGTGATGTTGGCTATGTACATAGCCGACTCAACCTGTTGGAACTAAATCATAAGATTTTCACCTTCTTTGCCGTCGAACTTATCGGCTTCCATTTGTATGGGGTTTGGTCTGCGGACCACTTCTTGCGCCATAGCCGCCATGGGCGAAGGCGCAGAAGAAGGCATCTGTGCCTTTACATGCTCAACTAGAGCTTTATTATATTCATCAAGCATATGAATACGCTTGTTAACCTCTTCTTCGCCCTGGCGATAAGGTATTCCACGCCCTTAGGGCCAAGAATAGGGAGCAGCTTCTGCAACCCTTCCTGTTGTGCCTGTAACAGGCCAATCACTAACATCTCATCGATGTCCATTCTCACACAGAGAAGTAGTCGCAAGCCAGGTGGGGATCGACTACAAGTGCTACCAGGTGTAGCCGAGCTACTGTAGCGACGCTACTTATGCACTATGTGCCGATGCACCATGTGCAGAAAAAGTAGTCAAACTACTGTAGCAAAGCTACGTATGCACTATTTGCAGAGGAAGACAAGCTTAGAGCGCTTCTACGTCTTAGGGTGCTTAACCTTCCTAGACTAGCTTGTAAGCTTGTGCCTATCGGTTATTACAACCGGGTATTAAAGAGGCTAGGATCAAAGATACAATTTCTATACGGAATAGAACGCTCTAGCAACTAGTGCTATACAGAGCAGGTTTGAAGCTGACTTATATTTATGTTTATCTTCTAACACTAAATATAGAAGCACCTATACTATACTTCGCGCTAGTCACTATTTACTGGCTCTTTAGCCTATTTTTATTATGCAAACATGCATAGTCACTATCCTTAACTAAGTATAATGACCACGTGGCTCTCTGCCACGATGCGACCCTTCGTACTTCAGGTACGGTCACATCACCTACTTTTGTACCCAGAGTACAGCCACACCACATTGATGTGGCAGGTGTGAATGAACGATACACGCCTTCGTGGAACCCCGTTACAATTAGTAGCTTGGCGATAGTAGCTCGGCTAGCTTTTTATGATCGCTGTCTGCACTTTACAGACAAAACTTTAACCTCAAGACTTGACGTCGACGCCCGCGACATTTTCATGATAATATCTCTTCTTATATTTACCTGCGAAATATAAGTCTCGGGCGAGCCTATTTGCAAGAATCGAGTCGCGATGACGCTTTACTGACCAAAATTGAGCTAGGCAGCTGGAAGGCGCACGTGAAGAGAAAAATTTGGCGTAGCGATATGTATTGATGCTGTTGCTCCTCACGTGCATGCCTTTCTGATGATTACGAATCAAGTTGAGTAGTGCTGGAATAAGTTTATAATTGGCTATATATAGTACATGTATTCGCGTGTTGTCTTCTGCAAACCTTTGGTAATTAATTACTGAATTTGCATCAAAATTCTTTCTCTTATTACAGCACTTTATATGCTTGATTCCAATTGTTTATTCTTGCCACCCCAGAAAGTCCAGCGCCTCACCACTTAAGTACAATGAGCCTGTCACCAATATGCTCCAGCTTTCGTCCCACTGATCTTGCTTCGCAGCTTCGTCCTTAATTAGCAAAGCTCCTGCATTCTTAGAGAGCGCACGCAGCTCGCCGATGCAATCAGCGACCGAGTCCATCACGGTGACAATGCACTTGCTCTGGTTCTCCTTTATAATGTGAGCTTTCAACGCGTTCCAAATTCGAAGTAGCGTTGTATGCCACGGGTGTATTTCGCTATTCACGTCATTCAGCACCGCCAGCTCTACTGACGAATATTTGCCCACCACTTCTTCGTAACCAGCAATCTGAAGAGCTTCTGAAAACGTATGAATCTTAGCAAGGCTAGGGCGGGATGAACTTGTCGGGCAGAAGTAGACGCGATCAAAGTATTGACTCAACAGCGGTTCGAAGAGCTGCGCAACGTTCCGTTCGTGATGGATTGAAAATATGAGCACACGCTGATGAACCGATGTTGTCCGGATTGAAGCTTGTTGAAACCAGTCTACACAGCACTTTAAGCTGCGCAACGTGTGCGCACCATCTATATAAAAACACATCTTATGCGCTTTGTCTTTCCATAGCTGCGCTCGGCCCGGCCAGAATGCGTACTGCAATCCTTCCTTCACCACCGGCTCAAGCACTTCGGCAAACATTGATTGGGTAGGAGCATCTTCACCACGCTTGTTGCGCAGCCATGTAGATGCCAGTGCCACCGCTAATCCTGCATTCGTGCGCTGATAGTTTCCGTGCATACCAAGCTTACAATTCACACCGTCTGGTCCAAAGCCATCAAGTGTCGGTACAATTACAAGCGGTGTGCCAGTCTCTAAAGCACATTTCTTCAGCATCTCCATAGCAACCGACTCCTGAGCAGTGGTAAATGCAGGTACACCAGGCTTAAAGATTCCAGCCTTTGCGCAGGCAATCATATCAAGAGTCGCACCCAGCACGCGCGTGTGGTCCAAATCAAGTGTCGAAATACCACAAACCACTGGCTTACGAAATACATTTGTGGCATCCAATCGTCCTCCAAGTCCGACTTCCAAAATAACCACATCCACTTGTTCGTCAGCAAAGAGATGCAACGCCATGAGCGTTAGAAAGCGGAAAAACCAGGCCATTGGCGGATACATACCGCTTTCTTCTTGCGTACGTTCCAGTCCATCCCATACTGCATTAAAATGTCGTAAGAAAACATCGTCAGCGATAGACTTTCCATTAATTCGGAAGCGTTCACAAGGTGAGATGAGATGGGGTGAAGTGAAAAGTCCCGTCTTGTAGCCTGCCTGACGCAATATTCGCTCTACCATAGCACAAGTAGAGCCTTTACCCTTCGTCCCCGCCACATGCACTACCGAGAGCGCTCTTGGGGAGCTACTATTTACTACTTGGTCCATATGCAGACGTTTAAGATAATGCTGCATCATATCAATAGTTTCCTCACGCGTTGATACCTGCGTATCCTTTCCTGGCTGTAGATCTTTAAAAGTAGAGCTCACATTCAATAAGCGCGTTAAAGCCGCTTGTACCTCTTGACTGAGGTTAGTAGAGCTATTGGAGCTACAGCTCATTTTTGGACTATTCGAGACGGACGTGGAGCTGCTGCAATGAGACGAAAGAGCTGACAAAAAAGAAGAAGAGTGAGGCTTTTTAGATGCATCAAGAGTAGAAGTAGCTAAAGAATGTGTAGACAGCATAATGACGTGAAGAGATAGTGGAGCTACAGAGTGTTTGTTTTAAGGACTTTTGAGCCAATCGTCTCTTGTTGAAAGCGCGTTCGATAATGTGAGTAGTGAATAATCAATTGATAGAGACAAGTTCGATATAAACAACAATAGAAATATAGATACAATTATTGACTGGTGTTGACACTATCAGTCATATTTGTCGTATTTCCATCTGAAGCTCATTATTCTGTGCACAATGGGACGATTGGGCGTCTCGATTAAAAAGCGCGGAAAGATTCCACAGCGTCGTAAGACGAAGCCGCGACGTAAATTCACGACTAAATACGTCCGTGACCCTAATGTGCAAAAAGTCTGGGACCATCAACTCACAACTCGCCAAAATTACGCCAATCTTGGCTTGGAAGCTAATCCCAATGCTTATACTGCTTTAAGAGAGAGCGTCAAGGGCGTTGATGGCACATTTGAAGCATTAGATAAAGCAACTTTTTATGAGGTACCGGACAGTGATTTCTTAGGCGAACGTAATCCAAAGCGTGTTGCTAATTACGTGTCCAAAGAGGAAGCCAAGTACTTGCGTCAACTTATTGCAAAGCATGGAAAGGATTACACTACAATGGCACGTGATATCAAGATAAATAACATGCAATGGACTGAACAGAAGCTTCGTCGTCGTTGTGCGCGATTGGCGTTAATGGACGCCAACGTCATCAGGAAGTCACAAGAAGAAGAAGCGCAAGATTGAGAAGTACTGATAGATGAAATCCAAGTATATTGCAACAAAACAGCGCCTTGGAAGCTATATGAGTTCTCTATTCTTTATGCGCTTTACTACTCTCGAGAGAAAATGCTACAGTGCTGCTTGTCCACTTACCATCGGACTTTTTTAACATTCTTTTTTCTTGCAATTCCATGCTATACAATTAATGACCTAACGACTACCGAGCAACACAGCGCGTGTGGCATCTGATGGGAGCTTGATACACTAATAAATACGTCGTAGCTCCGTACGCTGCTGCGCTTCATTTTCGCCACTTGATCCAGTTGAATGCCGCCATTTTAGCCAGATGATACAGTCACATGCTGTAGCTGACGTGACGCCGTCTCGGGAGATGACGGGTTTGACGCTGACGTAGGTGACGCTGATGACGGCGATGAAAATGGCATTGCTGACGATGACACTTTTACATATGATTCTCGAACACGCGCTTGAATGGACAAAGATGGCGGCGGAGAAACACCACCGCATGTGGATGACGAGGAAGATCCACTAGTAGAACCCACGGTACCAGTGGTAACCACTGAGGACGTCGAGCACAACGAGCTAGACGGTGATGGAACAAAGGATGTCGCAGTGTGTGGCATCTGTTTTAGCACTCCAGTCGCCATGTTCGGCATACCAGTCATTGCAGCCCTAGCTTTAGCACTAGAGCCATTACCGCTAGCACCTGCAAAAGGCACGTTAATTCCCTTTCTTGCCCCTGCACCAGCGGCAGCTTTCATCGCAGCGGTGACGTTACCGGCAAGTTCCAGCGTAGCAGCAGCTGCAGCCTGTGCATTAGCAGCTTCCTGAGCCTCGTCATTGACTGCATTAACCACCACATGAGGCAGCTTCTTGTGCGCCACGGCGCGCTTGTGGTATGCACGCTTTGCCGCACGCAATTGGTTTTGCACCTGGCAGCGTGGGCATGGGCCACCCTTACGATGGCGATGTTTCGTGCCTTCCACCTTGTGTTCAGTGGCTTCAATTTTCCGCTTAAGCTCCCGCAGCTCTTGTGGAAGGTTCATCAAATCCGGCAGCGGCAAATTCTCAAGCTTAGACAACGCCATCTTAGAAAGTGATGCGCCAGGTCCCACAATTCCCTTTACATCAAGGTCTTGCTCCGTAAACGTTCCTTCCAGGTCAGCAAACGTCTCCTGCATCTTAAGTGTCATCAGCCGCTTGCGTTCTTCGCGCTTCTTCGGTATCTTCTTCTCTCCCTTGCCAGGAGATTTGCTGCTAACATGATCATTATCGTGACGGCTGGCAAGCAAAGGCTCAAAACCGCTGATAGCTGACCCGTCTGTGCCATCAAAACCGTGTTGCTGACCACCGAAAGCAAGACTTGTCGCTAAAGAACCACCAAGCTGGTGGGCAGGCGGTCCCGATCCATGCACCAAATTGGATTTGCCACAACCTGGGACGTTAAAATTTACAAGTTGCACCTGATTCTTGTAAGGGTGGTGCAACTTCCTCTTGTGAAGACATGAGCTCAGGATATGGCTCACAGTGCGATTCTGAAAAGTACCAAAGTCCAAATTGTTCCAATCCTCAACAATATCGACATTCGATGAACTCTTGCTACTAAAAGGGCTTGCGGCCATAATCTTATCGCTAGGTTGGTGGATTGAACGCTGGGTCTGAATCGCCGTGAGTTCGCTAAGTGCCGATTTTGACGAGATGCCGGCTCCAATGGAAGTTTGATCAGTCATGCCCGCAGAAGTAAGCGCATTGACCGATAGACTGTTCTTTTGCAGCTGATGGCGCTGAGCAGCTTCTAAATCCCACTGCAAGAAACGATTCTCACGGTCACACAGCACAGCATGATCAATCGACGATAGCAGATCATGCTCGTAATTATCGCTTGCCATACCCCAAACATTGCCTTCTTCATCTTCATCCGCTTTGCTCTCATCGTCTGTTTCTGCTTTGCTTTCCGCATCCAACAATACTGGCACCCGCAATCCTTGCGTACTGACTGCTGGCAATACTTTGGCGCGCTTAAGCAGTGGGCCAGACGATAGCGCGGCATTATCCACCACCACATGCAAATCGTCATCGTCGTCGTCTTCAACCAGTGCAGCAGCTACATACTTGTCACTAAGTAGTGAACTAGCCACAGAAGTAGTAGCTAACTTTTGTGACGTAATTGTGCTTTGCCCTCGCATGCCATTCATGGTCACCTTTGATGCGTCAGTCGTGTTTTGCTCTAAGAATCCGTTTATGCCGTGGTTTACAAATAGCGACGCAGTGGGCTTGACCATGTGCAATGTCGTCTTCATGTTGCTATTGGTTCCATTCGTCGTAATCTTATTCATAGCAAGCGGCTGCGTGTTATGTTGAAAGTCAAACACGTCCATATGATGATCAATGTCGTCAAGATCAAGATCCATCCAACGCTGTAGTTCATCTTGTGTATCCATTTCTTTTTCATTTCCTTTCACTTCAACAGTAGCAATACTTTCATCATCTTCATCCTCTAGAGCTCGTCGCAGTCTTCGTGCAGCTTCATCTTCTTCCTGCGTTCGTGACAATGGAAACAATCGAAGTAATTGTTCATCTTGATTCACAAGAGAATCCACACGTTGTACCGTCTCATTAGCATCACATGAACTCTCCGAAAATTCTTTCATTATATGCAGGAATTCAACACAAGTCTGGCTTCGCATATCCGACGATTCGTTCACACTTGTCATCGCGTCTTTCCTAGTGTCTATTGTACTAGTTAACGTAGCAACTGTACGCATACGTTGCACATGGTCGTTTTCTATAGACAGATGCATATACAGTGGTTTTTCTAGTCGTGAATGTGTTGCGGTGGCCGCTTCTTGGGGCGACGTCATGGGCGACGTCATCATATCAATGGAAGGTCGAGACTTTGTGAGCAAACGAATACAAATTATCTTTTGTTTCCGACAACAACAGCAAACGTGTATTTAGTTTTAACGACAGTTTATGCTTATTATGCTTTGTACCAATCATCCATATAGACAGGATATCAATTATAGCTTCTCTCGTCCAGTTCACGCCTCGTGTGCGGGTTTTGCACCAAAGGCATTGACACCAATTCAAATGCAGTCAATCAGATCCCTCCAGCTTACAATCTTAACCAGCTCCGGTTAGGTGTAGGGTGGGACTGATTTTTACTTAACTTTTGTAAGCCAGTTTTAGGATCTAAACGCGTGGCACTTTTTATTCTAGTCAAGTCAGTTCTTAATAAAGTAAGTTCAGCCAAAACGATGGGTACATATTAACAATCCAAGAACTTGTCGAATTTTATATCTCTAGGTTCATTAATCTATCAGTTATGATAGACTAACAGTCAAGACAAGTTCTGTAAGATGCATCAATACATTTAAATTGCAGAACTTATATGGTTGGTATCTCATGATGGTCCAAATTGCAGCTCATTATCGATTGAGACAAGATAGTATCCATTACGACCACATCCGACTGAATCGTGTCTACTGTCTGTTTTCTTTCTATTAAGCAGACGCAACATTGTTACAACCCAAATGTTTCTAATGTCTCACGTAATGCGAGACTGCAAGATCTGCTCACTGAGAGGAACAAAAGTTACATTGATATTTACATACACCCAATGCAACATTCGTGTATGCAGCGGTACATGCGACATTTCAACAGGTTTCGTGCATGTTCGTGTTGTTGGAAGGTAGTAAACATAGCTTAAGGCCGATACCAAAGTCATTAAACTGTGATTGTTTGGGTGCAACTACTAGAATTACAGGTATCTCTTTACCTGTCGAATAATTTGCATTTGCAGCCCTTCCTACTGCCGTATCTGACTTGGCGTTAGTCATATACAATTAATCACAATAGTTATTGGTATTGATTGCTAGATCACACCTGCAATCACTTCGTAATGCCTCAATTCGTTTTGCCGCGGACATTTAAAAGCGTTGTTTAAATGCGTAGATACACGTCAATGCACAATGTATATCAAGGCACGAACCTACCACAAAGCCAAACGACGCCATCTTGAGTGCTAACGACATGGTACAATTCATACTAGAACAAATGTGCATACTAATTTGATGCGTTACAAGTCTTTGCTGCGTTAGTATTGATATTGCTTTTGATCGAGAAACTATCAGGCAAGCACGATAGCTGCATTAAAAACGTAATGCTGAGCGTCTTGTCAGCTGCTATTCTAGCTGTATATCCATTGTACGTCTGTTTGATATAGTTGCTATGCCCTGCGACTTGAAATATTCAAGAATCGCATCCTCCAAAGCTAAATTTTCCTGCTGTAATTGTTCTAGATTCGACTGCAGTGCCGATGCACTTGACTTTTTACGTTCACGGTATCGACGCTGGCGCAAATTTTGTAGTTGGCGTGCGTGTTGTCGTCTGCTGGTAGAAGTACAGTATACGTTAGAATTACAATTTGAGCCTAATCGAGCTAAGTAGCACCTATCCATACCTGTCAATTTTTGCTACTGTCTTGTACGTTCTGTCACTAGGGTCTGCTTGCTGACCAAAAACCAAGCTGGAACTGCGACTTGTAGCAAATGAAACACCTCCATGATTGTTTTTGAGCGGCATACTCGAGCTTTTAAGCTTGTGGCTCTGGTGCTCGCATGTACGAGCAGCCAGCACTTCCTCAGGTTCGCACAAGATAAAATTCAGCGACATCGAAGCCATCTTGTTTCCTGCTTTTCTCAAACAAAACGAATCTGTGCCTCTTAACGCAACCTTTCTCGCAGATCCGTGCTTTGAGCTTCAATTTTGTCTATTAGTCACTTCCAAGCAAAGTAGCCTTTCTATTGAGTGATATGGAGCACTTCGACGTCGTCGGACTTTCGCTTCCGAATTTTTTCTCGCAGGTTCGCAAAACTTACATCACGTGGGTTGTTCTTTGCAAATGTCGCTATATTTACAGCCGCATCCATCTCCGCTGCAATTGGAGTACGCTTGACCATAGTAATGAGGCGTCTTGCGTACTTCTTGGTCAGTTTCTGCTCTGAATTAGCAAGTAACTGCAAGCAAGGGTGGCGTGGTAAATCAGCATCAGTGTATTCGTAGGTCGTAGGCAAGAGGTACACCAGTCGACCGCCCTCACGCAACGTCTGAGCTGAAAATTCCATTAGATCCGTCATAACATCTTCTGCGGCGTACGGCTGCGTGGGCGCAATGTAATTTGCTTGTTTGACAGCGATGGTCATCCCATTTTTGATCGGACGCTTTCGTCCACTTTTGCGAGCACCAGCGCGAATACCATACGGCGGATCGCAAACTACTGCGTCGAAAAAACCACGGCATCGCGTCACAAGAGGTGACACGGAATTGTCAGCGCGTAGAAGCTCCGGAAGTGGCAGACCGTACTGTTTGAAGTTGGTGACAACATTGACGCGCGTCTCACCATCAACGACCTTGGCGCCTGATACACCGACTCCAGTTCCAAGAAGGACCCGAATGTCAATGTCTGTGCCGTAGCACATGGCACCATGAGTTCCGCACGGAATCAAGACACTTCCAGTACCTACAAACGGGTCGATCACCAAGTCTCCTGGCTGCACCAGGGCCATATTACTCATCAATAACGCCATCTCTGACTCCATCGAAGTGGGGCCAATGTACGCTCTACGCTTAAGCGTTTGTTGGTCAACAAGATCTCGAGCACCGCCACGTCCTCGATTTTTTTCGCTGCCTGCTAGTTCACGCAAGAAAAAAATCTGTTTGGGCTTAACATTCGGATGCAGATCCTGATCCAGTTCCAATTCCTCTAGAGCTAGAAACGTCTCGTCCGGATTTTTCATCTGTACAGGTCCAGCAAAGGGCAACGCGTCACGAAATCGTTCACGTCGTGTTTGCTGCTCGTCCATACTAAGTTTCTTGCCAAATACGCTCACATTAATGCGCCACGAGCGCTGCGTATCCTGCAGCATCTGCTGCTTATGAGATCCTTGGAAGTTTTCTATAGACGTCACAAGCTCATCGTAGCCACCTTCATTACTTGTGTGGCCCCACACTTCATATACACCCTTAACGAGGATTCCACGTTCGGAAAGAAACCTGGCGTGTTCCACTGATGGCAATTGCAAGCGCACAAGTGGTGAGCATTCAGGTTCTGGTAAAGTTCCAGTCTCTGGATCTTTTAATACCGTATCAATCACACCAGGAAGATGTTGCATTGTTAACAAAGCTTCGAGTTCCGGGTAGCGGAAACTAAAGTGTTGATGCACGAAGTACACTAAATACTCGGGCATGGCTGTAAATATAGCAACGAGACGTAATTTAAAGTAGAGAATAAAGGCGGTAGGGTCGGTGGTGTTGTGAGATAGGTAGACTTCTAGTTTAATTACTAAGTACAGAATAGCTCTAATGACAAGGTTTTGACTAGCAGCACAATATGACTGGCGTAGAATACATACACTGATTATAGTGTCATGCCGAAATGTTTACAGCATTTATAATTCATGTATTCGCCAATGCAGTCATTATACTTGCCCTTCGTATCTACCTGTTACAATTAATCACCTCTATAAAGCATCCTAAATGTCAGATCTCTTAATGCTAAATTACGTACGCTAAGCGGGGCGAAACGAAAGCTTAAACAGGTCCGACGAGTAGAATTGCACGTTTTGTTCCTCTACCTCCACAGAAAAAGGATTCTAAAGCAACCTTAGAATTGTAAACAGCAATGCTCTCGAATTGTAGCGTTGTTTAGCCTGGTCTGGATAGCCGGTCGCTGTTGCTTTCTTGGCAGGCAAAGAACACGCGCTCTATAACATTAACTTCATCCGAAGTATCTGAGCACGAAATAGTGGTTGTGTGCCTACCATGTTGTCGTCTTCAATATAGTGTCGATTAGTACACATGTATCTATTTCGTCTCCCAACGTGATGATGGTTTAATATGGCGTGAAAGAAGTGCCGCATCAATTTGCACCACAATTGACGAAACTGCGACAATTAGTTGACAGCACCCGCATTTTACATTGCACGAATAAATGCTGACATGTTTATACATGTTATAGGTCAAACCGATACAGTTTTGTGGAAACTTACAAGCGTTGATATCACTTGTGATGCTACGAATTGGCTATCGATGTAAATGGGCCGCCGTTGCAAGCATCACTGCAATTGCAATGACACCTACAGCCTTGAGCTGAGGACGTATGAGATTGCAAAGACTTTGCGCCTGTAAGTTGACGTCAGCAAGTTTTTATCTACACACACTATTATATTAACATTTGATGATCCAAAGTCTGATTACATCGAGCTGATCAACAGTGTTATGAAATATAGTAATACACTTTCTTCGCATGATTATTTTGACAAGGATTGACAAAAGGGCTGTGAACCTTGTAATTCAAGCTTCGACCATGTCTAAAACTAATAACCTTTGACAAATAATGTTTTATTTTTAGACATTAAATTTAACATTGTGATTTATATCCCACAAGAAAAGTAGTAAACAGCTATTTTAAAAGAAACTCAATATAGATATTATCAAATGAACAAATGCACATGTTTCTCGTCATATGAAGTTCTAATTGTTCCTTTGAACAAGCAGATTTATATACTCACGATAGAATGCGTAATAGTCAGAAGTTGCTGTTTATAAACAATGTAGTGGGCCATGTCTTTGCATTGAATCATATCCTTATGCTCATTACTTGACACTTGGATCATAGCTAAATACCGACAAGGGTTGCATATCAATTGAAGAATCAGTATTTGTCTATACACAAAAGCTTAAGGATTTTTACCATTGCGAATTGTAATAAGACAATGCGAGCATATTCAATACGAAAACGAGAATTGTTTTCTTGGTAACTCGTCGATTAACGACTGCAATTTTAGTGTCATTGCGATAAAAACGAATGTCCAACGATGGATAGTGCGTGGTAGTTTGTACGCAGGTATTTCTTTGGATAAGAGCAACGTCGTAGTGTCGAGACTTTGCCATTCGAATGTGTTATGCTTCGTGGCTTGTTTTTACACGAGGATGTGAAACTCACGTATATTTTGTCCATCCAAACGTCCCATCCGAGTTAATCAGTCCGTCTCTTTTTTTTTAAACTGAACTAAATACTGAACGAGTCAGTCTAGTCTAGTCTCAGTCTCTGTAAGTATTCTCGCCATTTCGAAAATCTCCATAGACTACGAGATGATAGCGTCTCAACTTCGCATCATGACTTTACTTTGGATAGTAGGGGCAATATTATGCTCATGTAACCTTGGCTCTGTACAGGCTGAAGCAGTATCAACACGTTTACTTCATGATGGAGTGTCACAGAATGATGTAGCTTCTGCCAAGGCTCCCGTGATCGACTTTCATGAGCAACTTACAGACGCTTCCGTTGAAGGTGCTGCTACCACTGCCACGAATACTTCTGAAAGTGCTGCTACTGCTGTCAGTGACACTTTTCCTGATACTGCTACCAGTTCTACTCATACTACTGCTAGTGATGAAGTTAATGGTAATGAAGATGGTTCTTTCGCTCTTCAAGAAACGAAAGTCGACGGTCATGAATCTGATTCCTCCGCCCATACCGAAGGTAATGGTCATGAGTCTGATCATTCCGCCCACACTGAAGATAGCGGTCATGAATCTGGTTCCTCTCACGACTCCCACGGTGGCGAAGAATCGGCCCAAGAAGGAGGAATGAGTGCCATGATGTTTTTTGGACCCGCGTGCGCCGGAGTACTGGCTATCGTTCTCATTGGTGCTGTTATTGCTTTCAAGAGTCGTATGAGTTAATGATCTTAACGCACATGACAATGGCAAACAACCTTTTTGCTTTAACAATAATGAATATATAACTTTTTCATTTCGAACACAACAGCAATTGACCATTTCCCTGGTCATTTGTGCTCCGCTGATATCTGTCGCAATTCTTTAAAACGGATTAACCCTGCGAGCCAATCGCACCAACACTTTAGGGTAGTATCGCCTTTCTTGTGGCCGCGCACCCAATTCGTAGTGTGGTTTGCCCGTAATCGCGTCTATCGGCGCTTGTGCCTTTAGCGCGGCCATCACATCGTCTAGCAAGAAATCGTCGCCGACAATAGGGTCCTCGATGATTGGATCTGTGTGCGTTTTACCTTCAAAAAAGCGCGTCGATACGCGTGCACTACAGGATTGAAGAGCCGCTGCTAGTTGCTCCGATGATCGATAATTAACCGTCTTATCTGCGGTGCCGTGAAACAAAAAGCACGGTGGAAAATCTTCCATTAATTCGTTCCGTATACGAAACGGTAATTCACTAAGCGCTAACAAGCGCAAGGACGGCGAATAATACGCCAACCGACGCGCCATAATGCGCTCCACCACCGTGCGATCGAAGCCATGGCGATGGAAAGTTGCAATGCTGGCTTCCATGTTGTACGGTCCAGAAATGCCAATGTAGCTGCGCACTTGCCTTAGTTTCCACGTGATCGGTTGCGCCAACGGCGATATACTTTCAAGGCTCTCACAGTCCGATGTATTGCCCATACCACCAAAGCTGCCACTTGGAGAAATATCAGATGTATTTGCAGCAGCGTTGCGCTTCTTCTCTATCTGCTCAAGTAAAGTACACATGGCAAGATGTGCGCCAGCTGACTGGCCGATGAGATGCACGTTCTCGCAATCACCACCAAAAAAGTGAACATTGTCAAAGACCCACTGCATAGCGCGTGTCACATCTTCAACCATGTCGGGCACCACTCCCTGCGGAAAGTTGCGGTAGTCAGGCATCACAACAACCACACCAAGAGACGCCAGTGCACGGCCCATTAATGCGCCCCATGCCTTGTACCCAATGATCCACGCTCCTCCAGAGACAAACACTACGACAGGGTACCTTTGTTCAGTCAGGCTTGCACTAGCAGCACTAGTAAAGCTATCACTTCGCGTCTTGTTTGTCTTATACAACGATTCCTCTCCTCTTGCAGTTTGAGGCACCGTGTACACATCCAGCAAGTTCCGTCGATTAAGCCCATAAATAATATTCTTGTGTACGTCATCATTTGTAAACCAGTAGATCGCAACCTTGACAATCGGGAGAAGTAATAACAGCACAAATGAAATTAGACGAATAGCACAGAGTATCCAACGCTTCGACATACGCAGTGCCCAAAGCAATTGTACAGCAAGCTTTGTAACAAGCCAACTCTGCTCAGCCACGACCTCAACGACCTCTGTGCCCGACGAGACTGCAGCTTGAAGCACTGTAGTATTCGACTCTGGGTCGACCATAAGATTCTTGCTATGTGGTGGACGAGACATTGATCCAATTGAGCTTCGTAATGATGTATGCAAGGAACTGGCACTACCAATCGATTCAAGTGAAGGATGTAGTGCCTCCTCATCCTTTAGATATCTGCTCAATTGAGAAGTAGACATGGCATCTAGCATGGAAAAGGTGCGAACTTTGTGCAATAATAGCTGCTCTCCCATAACGTCATCAATATCAACACCAACATCAATATCATCGTTAGTAGCTGTCTGATACTCATCAGATACCACGTGCTGCTTCATCGTAAGCTGTGATTGCTGTTGTTCTTGTTGTTGTCTTGTTGTTAATGTTGTTACTGGAAGAACATGGGTCATTATCTCCTGCTTTTGCTCTATTACAGCAGAATCATTTGGAATTTCTATCCTGCGCTTATCGGTCATTATAGGACGACTTTATATCAAATCCGCCACTTTTAGAAGAGAATTTAGAAGGTCTAAATGTTGCAATTGAACTATTAACAGCAAGACACTAGGAAATTCAAAAGAATAAGAAGAAATTCTACTATAGTTATGACTAGACCCTCCTCATGTGGTGCACCATATGATTGATAGATGGAAATCGATACATCATAAATTCAGTTGGTTTTTGTGTGCGTGTCTAATCTGTACACACTTGTCGTCGTACTTAGCGTTAGTCGATGATCCTTGCGACACGAATAAAAGTCCAGCAAAAATTTCTCGGCTGCCGTTGAGAAGGTTACAGTAATAACACTAAGACTCATGTTTTGATTGACATGTATCATAATAGCGTGACCACATCTTTTACATGAGGTTTTTATAATAGGATCATGCTCTTACTTTCGTCCAGTTACATAATATTCTTTTTGTCATCATGATATTCTTATAACGAAATAAAGTCATCTAGTTATAGAATGTTGGATCGGATTTTGCTATTTGATCTTTTGGGTAAAAACTATAAAGATGTATCTAGATATATTTATAGATGTATGACGATAAGGTGCTATAGACCTGTCGACTGACCACGGCGCAATGTGACGTAGCCAATTCCTCCACTAAGGCTACTGCTTCCTGATCCAAGATGTGTACGTCGTCGAGACATTAGACCGGAATTCATCAGACCTCCACCACCGACACTAGAGCTTGGTGAAGACACAATGTATGGTTCCTCAACAAAAAAGCGGTTATCACTTCCGCCAAAGCTGTCATCTTCCACGACATAATGCTCATAAGCGCCAAGATTCTTAGATCGTTTAGCAAACGGGTCGTGTTCTACAGCAGAAGTGCCAAACATGGACACACGAGATGGAGGTGGGGGCATTGGCAAATTTTCTGCAATCAGCGCCTCCGCAAGACGGTCATAGTCCACTGAGTGATGATTGACAACGCTGCGACTAAGAACGAGACGACGCGCAGGCAAACGCAGCTCTGACATGAAATCAACGAACTCATGTTCACCATCGGTTTCGCCTCTCAAGTATGCGGCAGTGGAGAATTTGCTCGCGGAGCTGAGCTCCTTGGACAAATTGGCAGCGAGTGGAGCGTCTAATAACGCTAGACGGGTCACGATATTACCAAGTGCTATCGAAGGCTGAACAGTGAGCACACCAAGTTTTCGCAGTTGGATTCCAGCTTCACAATTGTCCACAACTGCGATTAATCGTGGCCGAGCGTGTTCACCCAGCATCTTATGCATGACCTTTGCGTGCTCCAATGAGCGCTCAGGTGCACCCGTGAAGATAAGTAAATCAGCATTGTGCATGCCAGCGTCTGCCAAAGGCTCGCCCTTGCGATCATGCTTTGAATTCTTGAATGTAATTAATTCACCCTTTGCAGTTCGCTGCAAGATAGTTTCATTCATGCGGCGCCACTTGTCTGCTTGAGCTTCATCAAGTAGCGGAACATTTACACGAGCACCATAAAGAGACAATTCAAGTGCAACTTCAAACGCTACTTCATCGTCACCAAGCACCACAGCACTCTGCACACGGCGAAATGGCGGCAAAGGCTTAGGGTCTTTTGTACTGCTGGTCGAGCACAAAACTTGAGCGCTGTTGAGGCGACTTGTGTTCCAATTGGATGTATCTCTTTTGATATAATCGACTTCCGAATACGCAATTTCTTTTGGCTGTTCGCACTGCGCATTCACCGAAGCTGCTGCTCCTGCAGCCTGACGATCAACCATGCTCTCTCCAGCACCGCGAAGCCCCACAGAGCACAAAATGGGTCCGACGATCTGGTTGATGACCACTGCGGCAACAATCGTCGCTGCAAACTCAGTACCCCATTCGTCCGTAATGAGTTCCTTCACCTCAGCAGCCAATCCAAGTGACACACCAGCCTGCGGGGCCATCGTAAGCCATAAGTGCTTGTAATGTCGGGGTGGTAACTTCAGCAAGAACCGCCCACCCCCCATACACCGCTATGAAAATAGCTAAATATCGCGTCGCCAAGTACAAGCTCATGATTGGAAGCACGCTCAGCACCTTGTCCAGCTGCAAAGACGCTCCCGTCATGACGAAAAATGGCAAAAATATATACGGGGCCACGGTATCCAGGATCACATGCATCTGCGGACGGATGGCGGAGTAGTGGCCAGCCGTGCAAGAACCTACCATCAAAACCAGCAAAGCCTCAAATTTGACTTGCCATACAAGTCCAAAGCGGGTGGTGGTAAAGTCGCTCAACGTATCCGTAAAGAGATAAAAGAGGTAGCCCATTAGTAGCCAGATGAAGCCCTTTGCGTACAATGCCTTGCGTTCAGTCCACCATCGTTGCTTTTTAAACAGCATATCCGAGTCCACTTCTTCATAATAGCCCGACTCTGGGTTTTGTGCTTGCTCCAGGTCATTCATGTCCCGCTTCCCATCAACTCCTTGACTTTTCTTAATGCGCCGAGAAGCCAATATCATGCTGGAAGAGATCGATGGTCGGTTGACTGATGAAGCTGGGGACGGTGGAACCACGTCTGGTTCTCCACTTGGTATATGAAAGATAAGGATCGTTGCCAATCCAAGCAATGCCCCAAGAACGAGATTCATGAGCACAACCCCCATTGTGAATGAAATACTTGCAGCAGATACGTCGAGCTTGGCACAGTAGATGGAAGCAATAACACGTGAGACGGAGAAAGAGACGAGAACGACAAACTCGGCTGTCATGCATGTACCAAGTGCCAAATGCGTAAATGGTCCGACACTATTTATTTCAATCTTGAGTGCCATAACCGTTGATGGGGAGACAAGCACTGAAATCGAGGCAAACATGAGAGCAATGCCAAGTTGACAGTATTGCGCCAAGTCGGCGTAGAAGAATGCACTAGCAGCCAACATGAAGATAGTCGTGCCTAATACCATGGCCGTGGAGTAATAGGTCAACAGTAGTAGTAAGATTGACTTGATCTGTGGACGCAATTCTGGTAGATAAATCTCTTGACCCGCTTGAAAAGAGATAAAACTTAGCGCAAAGGCATTTACATAGGAACCAAGCATGCTCACAACGTCTTTATTGAGTAGATTCGATAGAAAAGGCCCAGACAATATTCCAGCAATCATGTAACCAGTGATTAATGGTAAACGAAGATACTTTGGAAAGAAGAGACCAAATGGATGAGCACCCAAGAGTACAAGGACAAAGGCGAGTAAGTGACTTAACGTATCAAATGTATTGCCCCATGAATGAAATGGTACCGTAAGGTCATGATTTTCTTCGACTAGATGACGAGTAACAGCTGATAGAGACGTGATTGAAGCATTTACAGCCGTCAGAGCTGCAATGAAAGCGGCAAGAAGTAGCATAAAGTAACGGAATTTCATTAAAGTGGCAGTATTGTAAAGGCTAAATTTAGAAGTGACGACAATACATCAAGCGACATAATGATGTAGATACGGATGTATTGTGCTTGAATTGATCAGGTGGAAAGTCTATGTAAAAGAGATGAAACCAGATGATGGATTAGACAGCGTATTAGCAACGCACGCTAATAGTTTTTACGCTTTCTATCTGTATCTTTTAATATATAAGTAATATCTACTATCATTTAGTAGACGGGTGAAAGTGATCTAGTACGGATAGATAGAAATCGACACGAAAACACATTGAAACGTCTCTTAAATGAGACTTAGCACAACGACATGGTATCTTGCGCTCTTATCAGCGTGAATGGCAGTGTATCTTATTGACATTATCAAACCCCACAAGTTTGATGATAAATTACTTAGATAATAAGCAACAACACCGACGAAATTGATATAGAGCTTCATTTTTACTTATCGTTGAATCATGACAAACTAACGCATCTTCAAATGGTAAAGTGTCCCAGGAAGAAGACGCGTTCTACACGCTTTTTTTGCGGTGCCGTGCCTGGTCCGTGATCCTTCTTACGATTTGACCGAGATTCCGATTGTCGGGTTTCTATTGCACGAAAATATACGTGATGGATAAAACGCGCATCGAGGTACCCTCTGAAGCTGTCACACAGGTCGTTCCAAGTAAATAGCGTAGTAATGCTGCTTCAAGATATGTCAATGGTAAGAAATAGAAGTATCGTTGACAGTGTCTACTATCGAAAAAAGCGAGGATACATGCAGCTGTCTCGAAACAGGATATTCATCGCTTCGTAGTGGATCGACAGAAGCTCGATGTGACGGTTACTGGGACGAGCATGGAGAGCCATGTGATTGCGGGCGACGAAGAACGGGGTGGGAAGATGGTCGCGGAATAGACAGACAGAGGGAATAGTAGAAAAATATGCCGCGAGCCAGCAGAATGTGGTCACGTTTATATTGGACAAATAAGAGTCACCCGTTAAACGGGGAAGCAAGTGTCGAATCGATGTTCTTGAAACTGGGAGCGAGATATACAAGAACTTTTCAAATGAATTCAAGTCGTTTCGTTATTGTGCAGGCAAGTGATGTGCTTCGCTTGGTTTCAAATTATTGAACGAGAGAGAGAGAAGTAGGGCGAGTGTCATACGGGTGCTTCCGTACTGCACGTTAAGACGATTGTTGCAAAACGACATAAGTAACAAAAACAGCACACGTTCCGGCTACTTCGTTGGGCGCAGTGATGCTAGGGCTAGTGCTGTGTACAAGTCGCACATTGAGTTGTTGGACTGACGTCTATCAGACTTATATAAGGTAAGAATGTAAAGTTATCGGAGGTCTATAGAAAGCACCGACGATACGACTGCTTTTGTGAGTAGCATCACAAGATATAATGCGGCATGATTGGCGTAGTAAAATCTGACAGATCAAATAACGGCGGATCGTTTGTTTTGTTAGTGTTTAGAATGCAGTTCTTGTTCCAGGCAAACCTATTTTTTGAAACGTCAGTAACCAGTTTTTGTCAGATCAGTTATAATCATTCAACCATGAGCGCTAGGTACACTCGAAGATCAAGATGAAAAGGCATATCATACGCCTTGACTCTTAAAATCTTAGGAATTTGATCATGTCGTGTATTGATCAGTCAACACACCCATATAAAAGACATTTTGTGGTCTTTCACGATGAAAACGTAGCATGTACTTGTGGCAAACGGGTACAATCGGCAGTGAAGACTGAATTCACAACAACATTGTACCACGCTACCACAAAATCTTCATTAATGAGTGAACAACAATGTCATATCTTTTGAATGTGGTATCGGCCGCTGTAAAACAACATGAGTGAACAACAATGATATATCTTTTAAATGTGGTATCGGCCGCTGTAACAACACAAAGGTCGCTTGATATCTGCGGTGCCACAACAGTCAAGGTATGGTCCCCTTTTCTCTGGTGCGCAAAGATATTAAACTACCTTCTGTTTAGTTGCATGCTTGTCAAAATGTCGTTATGCGTAAAAATTGCTTCATGGAGCAAAACATTTACAGTTCTGTACCAGATGGGATGGAGTTTATGTCATTAAAAATGACTGCTGCAGATATAAATATATGAGCACAATGCTGTTTGTAGGACTGTTTCTATTTCGTCATGCAACGTGAAGATGACGACGCCCTTTCAATTCCATGCAAAAAAAAATGATACAAAAGCCCAATCATTAAACTCTAGAGACATCCTTGTGCGTTTTGTTTCCTACTTAACTGCATGATACAAATCGTAAAGGTCACTACAGCTTTTTGTAAAGCAGAAAAGTAGACCATAAGTATGGCCTGGAGACGAAGCAAGCTGACACCAAACATGATCGTTACCGCATATAACCATTCAGTTACACAGCCGCATTAAATGTGCTATGAACCTACTATCTTGTTTGCAAAAGGTCCTCAAGCTCTTTGTTCTGGATTGGCACCGTACCATTAACATTCAGTCCAAACAAAAGTTCAACCTTTTTGATCTATTTATCTTAGCAGCCCAAGGCAAATGAGTTTTAGGATACGATATAGGGGGTAGAAAATCCTTTATTTGCACGTGCAAGTAGTTGCGTCTACCATACACACGTTGTTGTAATTTGTCAATCGCAAGGTTGCAAATTTTTGCTCATGTTGGTGAAAGGCAAGATAATCATAAGCCTTGACTTCATTCTCAGACCAGGAATTGGGCTATCATCTGAGCTGATATATGTATGTTGACCAGAAATCTCTTTCAGCATATTCCAAAGTCAAAACTTTCGAAAGGACTGGGGGGTTTCAAGAATCTCTAGGACGTAACGGATGTGGAAACGTTTCAGCCAATTGTACATTGTCCTTTGTCTAATATGTACAGCAGCGCTGCGAAAACTGGCTCGCAACGAATCGCATGAACCAATGAAAATACGCAAAGTCAAGCCAGCCCCGGTATAGACAAAGCAGCTTTTTAGTTGTTGCTGCATAACCGCAGTCAATCGCAACCTACTACTACAGACTACACTTTCATCAGGAGTAAGAAAGAAGAAACTCGGTCATTATTGTGGTAGTAAAGTTGCAACCTTGAAAGAAAGAAACAATTAAAGAAAGAAAGAGCAACGAAGTGAAGTAAGGCAATCTATATACAACTACGTGATCAACGGTAAATTACCAAAATTGGCAATCGAACAGGGACTTTTTTGGTATTTTTTTGCAATAAAAAAAGACCAATGCAAGTTTCTCTATGGCTTTTCGTTATATTTGTGCTATTAGCTGGTATGAATGTATGTTATTGAATCAGTTTGATGAAAGCTCATGTGATATTAACGTTTTGACTGTATGTTAACATTGTATGATTGTCCCAATAGGATCAGAAACTAGCAATGCAATCTCATCCGTCTTTGCAGCTAGTTCATCCGAGTGTTCATCCATTGATATTTGCTATGAAGGAGGTGCAAAATCAACACCTTGTACAATCTCAAACGGCAATTGTCCAGCATGTGTCACATTCTCAGATAACGGGTGCTACGTTCTATTAAACGGTGTGTGTCCATTTGGTGTAGACTGTACATCCATGTGGAACGGAATGTCTTCTTCTACTTCTAGTGGAAGCACGACATCGTCTACGAAGACGAATTCGGAGACGGCGAGCGAAAGTAGCACGACAACAATCAGTACGCCAAATTCTCCGCCCTCTCCGACAACAGAAACGTCTGTGAAGCCGACGTCAGGTGAGAGCGAAACGGTTGCAAGCCCTTCTAGTGATACAGCGTCAAGCACCTCGGATAGCAGTGGATCAACAATGAAACAATCGGTTAGCGGTGGTTCTGATATGAGTGTGGTCTTTGCCATTATTGGCGCTGCAATCGGTGTCATTGCCGTAGCTGTGATTTTCCTGACGCTTGTGCGACGCTCGAAGGCTGCGCACGACGAGGACGACGATGATATGACAAACACCCCGCCTGCGTTTACCAAGGCACCGGCAGTGCATGCATCTCAAAGCAATGCGAGCGGTGCCATGTACTCAAGTTACAATTGTAGTAATCGGACAACTGGCATGGGTTCTGGCAATAACGCCGAGATTGGGCTGGATGCGTCCAAGGGCGTCTCCATGAATGCTGTGAGCTACTACAATCAGCAGCCCCCGCACAATTCTGCAGCACCGTCGCCACGTGTGGCAGGGCGGGCAATCCCTTCGCAACCGGTGGGAATGATCTCAAACGCCAGCATGGCTCGCCCCTATGGCGGAAGTCAAAATTTTGGCACATCTAGTGCCGTTAATGGCTTCGGCGCCACCGGTTATGGACAATCTGGCGTTGGGGTGAATAATCAGGTACCACCGACACCGGTGCAGCATATTCCGATGGGTGGTGTGGCACCTTCACCCCACGTGCGAAGAGAGTCGTACGAATTCTAGCTGATAATGGTTGGAAACAAACTTTGAAAGAGTTATGAGCACCTGTACAGACACAAGTTGATGGCTCTTTTTGGCTCGAACGAGCAAGGTTTATTCAATACGGTTAGATTGTGAAGAGAAGTGCATCCCAAGTGAATATGATTCGGCTCTTCCGTTTGCCACATACGTGCAAAGCTAGCGTAGAGGTTGCTGTCGTAGAGGTAGCTCTATTGCGCCGTATCCATTCGTATCTTAGAATACTATCTGATGTCTTAGCATTTTGTAGATTATCATGGTCTCGATTACTTCATGTACATTCACCAAGAGCTCAAGTGGCAACTACAAACTTCTGGATTGATGATTGCAGATACGTTATGTCTTCATTCGCGACATTTGCGACAAAATTGATGATTACTTTGTGTGGCATCAGGTTTGCTTGAATGTATGCTTAGTACAAAAGTGCTTCTAGCACCACCATCTCGCGGAGAGAATGTTAAGTCTACCTTCAGTATGGCAATGACCATACTGAAGGTAGACTTAACATTCAATAACGCACTACAAAAAAGCTTCGCCGTCAATATTCCATGTCTATCACACCGTCAGCATTCCATGCACGAGTTCTGTCGCTTATGATGCTGTCACTGTCAACGTTTTGCCATCCACTTCACTTGCGGCCGATCACTTACACAACATCAAGCACCGTTTCGAACGAGCTGAACATAACCTCAAGCGCAATACCGATAAGTTTGTAGCGTAGCCGTATTTTACGCATTGCTAGCAAAGAAAGGAAGTAAGAAGGCTGCAATTTACAGCAACACTGTACACGATGCGTCAGCAACATCCAATTCGATACATGTCTTCTCATTAAACTGCTACCATGTCAACTTCTTCAATAAATCTCAATCGGTCCAATGTCAGGCGACAATCCATACTGTCACCTCCCTTTACCAAACCAACCACCGTTGCGAACGATGTAACCAAAAAAGCAGCGCTAAATCAATCGCCAGCATCTCGTTTTCGGCTGCTGCGGAGCACCGCAATCCGACTTTGTCCACTGTCTTGAGGACACCTCGCACTCCAGCATCTTCATTTTTAACTGTCTTCTTCCATTAACAACCACCACGCTTTTCTTGTATGATACTGTTCTCTCGGTCAATTCAGCTTCGTTCTTGTCAACGTGTGTACACGAGAGCCTCGACAGTGATAAACAGTTCATATAATTGCACAATGAAAACGACGACAAGTCTTAATGCCGACTCAGTAGTCTGCGATCGCATATTTACTTTACCATACAATACGCCAGTGCTCTTACTAACCACATACATAATAAATTCATCCAGCCCTACTGCCGTCACCTTATCACTTATTGCGCAAATGGATTTGAAAAACCCAGAGTAGCATTGCATCCACTCAACACTTTCTTCCCCGTTTTCTTCCTTCCAATTTTAATTCCACCAAACCCAAAACCACCTTCTGTTTCAGTCATCGAATTCTCGAAATTCCTTTTCACACCATCAAGCGGGACTCTTGTGTCCATACTTTTCACTTGCTCCGCTTGTTTTTGCGCCGTCATTCTTTGCTGCAAGATCAATTGTTCTTTCGCCTGCTCTTTCTCTCGCTTCATACTTTGTTCTTCCTCGGATCCCACACGTCGTTTCTGATGCTGTAAGTCTTTCAATCTCTTGGTATGATGATGATCATATGAACTCAAATGATTCTCCATTTCCGTCACGGACTTGTATTGTTTTCGACAATTGCTGCAGTAAAAAGCCGCCTGCATACTCTTCACCTTTTCTCGCAATTGCTCCTTCATAGCGCCTTTAGCTTCTCGTAACGCAATTTCTTCAGCCGTTTCATGCATTTCTGTGTCTAATTTACGACGTTCACGAGTTGCCAAGTGCGTCACTTTGTCATATTCTTCCTATTACAATAAAAAACCACCATAAATAGTTAACGTAAGATTAAAACCATTATCTTTAAATTACAATGAAAGATAAAACTTTCATGAAATTTATACTGACTGCTTTGCCAAGACCGAGAAAAATGAGGTTTTCTTTCATTTTCACTGGTTCAATAATACCTGCGTGGGGTAATTAAAAATAAAAGACGCATATCTTTCAATCAACTATATTTTACATCGTTTCAGTAATTTACAGATTACAGCTATCTACTAACCAACCTTGTTCGTGTTTACCTAAACCAGAACCAGTGCGCCAGCCCATTTGTTGCAACAAGCGATAGCCACGATTCGATGCATCCAGTGCATGCTCCGTCCCTGAGAGAATATAAGGCTTGGTTTCATTGCCCTGCATCTTGATTTCAGTCACTCTAATTGGATTTGTAGTAATTTCGTAACGAAAATAGGGTACGTTATTTACATCCAGGGAAATGAAAGAATATAAGTTATAGAAGGTTTTGTCGATAATTTAGTTGCAGCTTGAAGGTTCCTTACGCCGAATACACACTATGAATCCTAGGACGGCAGGACAGTTGTAGCGCCAAAGTCTTTTTAACCAATAATAACACTTGACTTTTTTCATCATGTCATTAGTCCATCCTAATTCGTTAGGCTCATACTAATTCACGATCGCTCGAGTTGCCATTCTCTCTACTGCTTCTAATGTCTACATATGTCTTGCAAGGCTTTGTGTATTTTCTATCGCATCCAGACCTGTGGCTCATGACGCTCTGTCCACTTCTTTTAACCTTTCTAATTGCCATCATTACTGTGATCGTGCTTTTCTCTGTAGCTCTTCATCCTCAAGCAAAAGGACTTGAAACTGCAGGTCTTGAGGCGTGGCTATCATGGTTATTAGCTGTCATGCTTGTGCTTGTGGAGATCTTTCTAGTCACACTTGTCTATAATCTGGTCGTCATGAGCTATTATCAAGATAAAATCTTCAAAAAGGTGTTAATCCAGCGAGGTTTCAAGGAATTGGTCGAGGATCAAGACCGACATGCTGGATGTGCACGGACCTGTCGTTCTTGCTGTCGTGTCAGTCTGTGGCTTCGACTTGTGCTGCTTATTATAACTCTGCCGCTTCATTTGCTACCGATTCTTGGATCCATCCTGTACGCATCGCTCAATGGCACGATCGTGGCGTGGGAATACCATTTGCTCTACTTTGAGTTGAAAAACTTTTCTTACGGACAGCAAAGAGACTTTGTCGACAAGTATAAGGTCCAGTACTCTTCATTCGGTATGCAGGCTTTACTTTTGGAGATGATACCCGGTCTAGGTTTGCTCTTTGTATTTACAAACGCAGTGGGAGCGGCATTGTTTGCTGCTCAGTTGGAAAGTAAGGAATGCGAGGAAAATCACATGCAAGAAGATCAAATACAGTCTAGCTGGAATAGCGCTGCGAACAACACTCATGCGTACAATAACATTTACGTCGCGCCTGGAGGTATTGTCTAAGATGTTGACTGACTGCAATATATTAAACACACAAGATGTATCCAGGATAATAAACCAGCGACGGCTGATCATGGATATAGAGAATATACTCTACCGGTCGTATGTTATCTACTGGATTTGCAAGTGCCAGGATAAGGCAAAGGATTTACTGAATTGTCCCAGTTTCAGATTTACGCTAATGTCGACATTTGTAGCCCAAGGTCTTGTTTACTTCTTCGCACGTCCTTCCTTATGGCGAATGACCCTATGCCCGATTCTATCGACGATAGTCGTGGGCACCGTAACGATTGTCGTGCTTTTTAGTTGTTGCCATGCATCCACAGGAGCAAGAGCTGTACAGTGTTGGCGTTCCACAAGGTCTTGCGTGGGCTTTGGCCGTCATGTTGTGTCTCATCGAAAGCTTTCTAATTGTCATTCTCTACAGCTTACTTTGTCTCGCCTATTACCAGGACAAGATATTTGAGTTTGTCATGCGTGAACAAGGCCACGATGAGCTGATGAATCATCAACGACGGCACGCATCGTGTCTTCGTCTTTGCTCAAGTTGTTGTCGTGTCAGTCAGTGTGTTACTCCGTCTTGGCGTCTTAGTAGTGACTGTACCACTAAATGTACTACCGCTAGTAGGGAATGCAAATGTATGCGTTGCTTAATGGACAACTCGTGGCTTGGGAGTATCATTTCTTCTATTTTGAGCTCAAGAACTATAGCTTGGAGCAACAGCAAACGCTCATTAACGAGCGCAGTCTACAGTATCGACGTTTTGGAATGCAAGCGTTACTATTCGAGATGATTTCAGGCATTGGTGCTATTTTCATGTTTACCAACACCATTGGCGCTGCTCTATTTGTTCGAGCATTGAAAAAGAAGAAATTGCCAAGACTTTGCTATCACTTGCTCGAATAGTGGATAATAGATAAAATCAAGTCTCGATTGGAATCCACTAAAAAATAGTATCGTTCTTAATTTATATCAATGGATATTATCCATCACAGTTGAAAACGAACTAAATCTACTAGTTTTATCCCTCTTTCGTCTCTAAACAATGTCGACGTACCCGCTCCGTGGAATCCTGTACTTCTTAGGCGATAAACATCTCTGGCGCATGACGATATACCCAGTCCTCTTGACAGTATCTGTAGCATTTGGTGTAGCTGTGACGCTTTTTGCCTTTACCTTACATTGGCAGGAACAAGTTTTATCGAAATTTGGTCTGTCAAGTTTTTTTGCCTGGATTTTTGCCGTGATTTTTGTAATTATCCAAGTATTTCTCATTACAATTTTGTATGGACTTTTCGTCCTTGAGTGGTTTATGGATAAAATCTTTGCTTACGTTCTGATCCAACAAGGATATCGTGATCTGGTCGAAAATAAAGAGCGCCACTCTCCTTTTCTACGCGTGATGACGTCCTGTTGCCGTGTTAGTGTACTTTTACGACTGGGACTGCTTATTATTACGTTACCATTAAATATGATCCCAGTACTTGGAAATATCACGTATGCGTGGCTCAATGGCACGCTAATGGCTTGGGAATCTCATTTGTATTATTTTGAAATGAAAGCTTTTGATTATGAGCAGCAACAGCAACTTGTGTCACAACGCAAGTTTCAATATTCAGCATTTGGGATGCAAGCTTTACTATTGGAAATGATTCCTATTGTTGGAGCTATTTTTATGTTTACGAATGCTGTGGGTGCTGCGCTTTTTGCTGCTAGTATTGAGAAAGATTTGGAAAAGAAAGGGCTTTGGAAGAATTGCAAGTTCAAGTGGTGTGGCAAGGACCATGAAGTTAAGAAGACTCATGAGAAAACCAAGGAGATGGATAAGGTGCCGCTTGTTAACAAACAGGGGACGTATATACCGCCGTATGGCACCACGTCGAAGCAGTGTTGATTTGAGACAAAAAGGTACAAAACGTCATGGTGCTGCTTTTTGTGACCAGAATGAGGTATATTTGAGAATGGAGAATGTGTAGCTTTTGAACCGCTACAATTTGACTTGGGGAGTTCTGCTGCGGCTGTCTGTATCGGAGCAAATGTTAACAGCTAAGATGGCGTACTCAATTACCAAAGTCAATAGACAGACAGGGCCACCATGTCGTCAAGATTTTGCAAGGCCATTTTCTACTATGTATATTACAAAATCACGTCATCTATTCCGTGATCCTGCTTTGGGCTTCATTGACGCAATTTCTTTCAGGTTATTGACGTCATAAAGGATTGCTACTTGTCCTCGATGCTATTGGAGACAACATTGTCATGCGTATTCAGTTTTTACGAGGGACTGTCTAGTTTGCATGCTGACAGTTTGTGTACTGTCAAAAGTAAGAAGACAACTAGTTCTAGCACCTAAGCTACATATGCATCGCATGGAGTTGTTTAGGTTCATTATATTCATGTCTACGAACCAAGAGACCTCGTCTTCGTCGGAATTGAAAGCGCATTTTTGAGTAGCTCACAATACTTGAAAACTCGCAAGTTCCGTAGTTCCAAGAGTCTTTTGACCATAGCGCCGTCTTTTGCAGATGTAGTGCACTCGACAGTGTTTCAGAATTTTTGGGATCCAGGCATGTAGTAATGTAGCAAAAGCCAAAGCGCTCTTTGGTTCTCATAGAAGTGTCATGCTTGTGTATGCTGTAATACGATTCTGGTTTTTGATGTTGTTACGGCGGAATGTTGAAAGCATTAAAGCGCCTCAAACGCAATGAATGGAATTCACTGCAAGCTACTGCTGCCAAACTCCGAGTGTGCACAACTAAGCAGCGTTTTGACCGCGGCAATTGTAACACACTTTCTCTTGGTAACCTACGCACACTTAATGCCCGATGCAGATATCTCTCTCTTATGCTCGCCTTTTAATTAGTCATTAGAAACCTTACCAAACAAGTCGTCATCATTGCTTCCAGTCCTTCACCAAATGTTGTCCAATTTTTTCTACTCTTCCGTCTAAAACGTTACTTGAGTGCTGCCCCGAGTAGATCGGTCACACACTTCACTTGAAACCATGAAACACTTGTTTTTTTATCTGCCATGACGAATACCATGTACAGCTTATGAGAGTGGAATGCAACAAACCGTGACGCTTTTTCGCTTGTGCTTTGGAGAAGCCTTGGTTTGATAATGGCCCATTTGCGTAAAAATGCTGCTAGACTTCTTCACAGACGTCATGTGCATCAAACTGATTCTCATTACACTTTAATAGATGGTCATGCAAAGTTCATTAGATACTAAAACTTCGAGGAACCATGGAGTGGATGTCAGGTATCATTCGAAGAAGAAGTTCAACCGCATTTATTGAGTGAGTGTTCATATCCGGGATAAGGATGCATTTCACGCAATGCAACGCTTTTAAAAAGTACTTCTGCACAAGACGAAGTGAATACTACGATTTCTTGTTTCGAAGCAACCAAACATGCTGCTACTACCGAGGCTCATTACGGTGACGAATAATTGGGATCAGTCACCTTAAAATCGCGATGAAATTTTTCGTATTCTAACCAGACGTTCTCGAGTAGCAGATCACCGGGCTGCGTCTCTAACTCGACTTTGATATCGTTCGGTATTATCTTTGCTATCGCCCAGATCTTGAATTGTTTTCTTCGCCATTCCAGCATCAGCTTGTTTGCAGGATTGTCAATGATTGCAGCGGCAATCTGCTTTGCAACAAATATATAGCCGAGAGTTTCATCTAGCGCTTTGATGAGGGCCATATCCGAATTTCTACCGTAAATCTCCACTACAAAACTTCTGAGATTGTCGAACTGCGGTTGGTGAAACAGTTCACGCTCTATAGTCTCAAGCCCTAACTCCTCAGCTTTCATGCTCGCAGTATCCTTTATCATTTCCTGATCCAAACAGAGCAACTCATGCACCTCCTCAGCGAGAAATTTTAATTTCTCGACCCCTTTTCCTGCATCGAGAATACGGGTCAAATCATCTGCATTGTAATGATTTTTTAGAATTGAGTATACTGCTCCATCCACAAATTTTTCGCGCAAAGGGACAAATTCAACCCACTCAGAAAACGCTATGCTTTCAAAAAGCTGTGTGCCTGTCTTGTCGAGCCCCCACAGCACAAAAATCTCTCCCAGAGTCTTTTGTGTCGCCGGATCTTGCCATCTCAAGAACTGGCGGCGTAGCAGGTCTGCAGCAAAAAGTCTCCATTTCTCGTCCTTCGTTCCTGCAATCAGAATACGGGCCAAATCAGCATCGTTGTAATGTTCAGCCAAGATCGGGAATATCACGGCTCCCGCGGATTTCACGTTGCGTTTTGACGAGACGAAATCGATCAACTTGGAAAACGCTATGCTTTCAAAAAGCTGCACGCCTATCTTGTCGAGCCCCCACAGCACAAAAATCTCTTCTAAAGTCTTTTTTTGTCGCCGGTTCTTGCCATCTCAAGAACTGGCACCGTAGCAGGTCTGCAGCAAAAAGTCTCCATTTCTCGTCCTTCGTTCCTGCAATCAGAATACGGGCCAAATCAGCATCGTTGTAATGTTCTGCCAAGATCGGGAATATCAAGTCTCCCGCGGATTTCACGTTGCGTGACGAGACGAGTTCGATCAACTTGGAATATGCTATGCTTTCAAAAAGCTGTGCGCCTATCTTGTCGAGCCCCCACAGCACAAAAATCTCTTCTAAAGTCTTTTTTGTCGCCGAATGTTGCCATCTCAAGAACTGGCGGCGTAGCAGGTCTGCAGCAAAAAGTCTCCATTTCTCCTTCTTCGTTCCCGCAGTCAGAATACGGGCCAAGTCAGCGTCGTTGTAATGTTCAGCCAAGATCGGGAATACACGGCTCCCGCGGTTTCACGTTGCGTTTTGACGAGACGAAATCGATCAACTTGGAAAACGCTATGCTTTCAAAAAGCTGTGTGCCTATCTTGTCGAGCCCTCTCAGCACAAAAAACTCTTTCAGATCATTTTGCGTCATACTATCTTGCCACCTAAGAAGCTGGCGGTCTAGCAAGTTTTCAGCAAAAAGCCTCCATTTCTCGTCCTTCGTGCCTATAACCAGAATACGGGCCAAATCAGCGTCGTTGTAGTGTGCAGCCAAGATCGGGAACAATAAGTCTTCCGCGGATTTCACGTTGCGTGACGAGACGAGTTCGATCAACTTGGAAAACGCTATGCTTTCAAAAAGCAGCACGCCTATCTTGTCGAGCCCCCACAGCACAAAAATCTCTTCTAAAGTCTTTTTTGTCGCCGGTTCCTGCCACCTCAAGAACTGGCACCGTAGCAGATCTGCAGCAAAAAGTCTCCATTTCTCGTCCTTCGTTCCTGCAATCAGAATACGGGCCAAATCAGCATCGTTGTAATGTTCTGCCAAGATCGGGAATATCAAGTCTCCCGCGGATTTCACGTTGCGTGACGAGACGAGTTCGATCAATTTGGAAAACGCTATGCTTTCAAAAAGCTGTGTGCCTATCTTGTCGAGCCCCCACAGCACAAAAATCTCTCCCAGAGTCTTTTGTGTCGGAGGATCTAGCCACCCCGACAACTGTCGGCCTAGCAAGTTTTCGGCAAAATGTCTCCATATCTCGTCCTTCGTTCCTGCAATCAGAATACGGGCCAAGTCAGCGTCGTTGTAGTGTTCAGCCAAGATCGGGAACAATAAGTCTCCCGCGGATTTCACGTTGCGTGACGAGACGAAATCGATCAACTTGGAAAATGCTATGCTTTCAAAAAGCTGTGTGCCTATCTTGTCGAGCCCCCACAGCACAAAAATCTCTCCCAGAGTCTTTTGTGTCGGAGGATCTAGCCACCCCGACAACTGTCGGCCTAGCAAGTTTTCGGCAAAATGTCTCCATTTCTCGTCCTTCGTTCCTGCAATCAGAATACGGGCCAAGTCAGCGTCGTTGTAGTGTTCAGCCAAGATCGGGAACAATCAAGTCTCCCGCGGATTTCACGTTGCGTGACGAGACGAGTTCGATCAATTTGGAAAACGCTATGCTTTCAAAAAGCTGTGTGCCTATCTTGTCGAGCCCCCACAGCACAAAAATCTCTCCCAGAGTCTTTTTTGTCGCCGGATCTTGCCACCTCAAGAACTGGCACCGTAGCAGGTCTGCAGCAAAAAGTCTCCATTTCTCGTCCTTCGTTCCTGCAATCAGAATACGGGCCAAATCAGCATCGTTGTAATGTTCTGCCAAGATCGGGAATATCAAGTCTCCCGCGGATTTCACGTTGCGTGACGAGACGAGTTCGATCAATTTGGAAAACGCTATGCTTTCAAAAAGCTGCACGCCTATCTTGTCGAGCCCCCACAGCACAAAAATCTCTCCCAGAGTCTTTTTTGTCGCCGAATGTTGCCATCTCAAGAACTGGCACCGTAGCAGGTCTGCAGCAAAAAGTCTCCATTTCTCGTCCTTCGTTCCTGCAATTAGAATACGGGCCAAATCAGCGTCGTTGTAGTGTTCAGCCAAGACTGGAAATATCAACTCTTCTAAGGATGATTTTGCGTGGGTTATAAAGATGAAAGCGATCCACTTAACAAAGCCTCTGCTTTTAAAGAGGTCGGTATGTTTCTTGTGAAGATTCTGACGAAGAAACACAGTGTTTGCGGATCTCTTTGTTATCATCCACCACCACATTTGAAGTTGCTCCATTTTTTGGAGCAGTGTTCGCTTCAGACTGGTAGCAAATTCAAAGCTTTGAAAGCCCTTCAAGAGATTCAGTCTCTCCTCGAAAGCATCATTCGTTTTCTCACTCGTTTCTTCCACTGTTTCGTAAAAATTCAAGCTCTGCTTGATCAAGACGCTCTTATTAGCCGCATTTAACGTACTCAAAGCGTCCAAGCGCCGTATGGCCACCTTTGCCAACGATTTTTCTGTAGTGGACATGGTCATACCTGACCATGTAAGGAGCGTAATGAGAAGCAGCACCTTTGCATAGGACGCATGGTCTATGCTTGGCTTGACAGCCATCCTATTCCTCGTGCAACGTGTATTTGACAGCAATATGGAAAGTGATGTGAGCTTCATGGCCAGATCTTGCACGAGATCAGATGCAAATCCTGACTGGAGCTAGCTGGACGATGAGGTCATCTCCTCCTGCATAAAGTCCACGCATTGTGCAGTTATACCATTATTAATCCTGCTATTGTCAGTAAACTCGACGTCCAACACCCTCATCTTGTATACGTCAATCGAATCCTCGCATTTCATGTTCTTTCACATACCTAATGTAGATACAAACGTCCTCTGATAACCATCAAGTACTGCATATTCATTCCATACATTACTAGACTCCAAATGCATTGAAAAGTATCCCAAGTAGCTGAAGTTTAGTAGAATGTGAGCCTAGGAAACCCCTGAATCTGTTACAATTTGGAGGTGTCTAAGCTGATGAATGGACTGGTCATGGAGCGTCAAAAAACTGGGACGGCAGAGATTGGGTTGAAGAAAAACGACACTCGTCTTGAAAATCTGGTCGACTGAAATATTCCATGTCTACATACTCCTAGACGTGAACGACATGATATCGATTGCTAGCAACGTACTAATAGCCAGCCATCCAAAGCTTGTTAATTTTACTAGAATGCATCATTGTACACAAGTGACAGACGTCCACAACAAGGAGTATAATGGATCTCGAACTCATCGCGAAGCATCGCTCGGGTGTATGAACCTGAGCCTACAAACGTTGAATGAGTCTTTCGTAGCTAACACTTGATGTCTTGGTAGGTCTCAAATGACAAGTTTACAACCGCAAACTTCTACACTTTTACCATGAAATAGTAAGAATACTTTGTCATCGGCATACTCGACAAGGCTTTGAATTTGATTAACGCCTTTTGTTTGACTTACTCGTGTGCAAGCGATTTGCCCTTGTCTTGCAATGACGAGGCCTGAATACGATACGAGAAGGTGAGAGCAACATTTACTAGCCGTCACGTTAGACTTGATGTTCTATAGAATGCTCGACGTCATTTTACTGCCATTGCATGCACTTTGCTCCGATCCTCCATAACCCCATAAATATATCTAGCTACAAGGCAGCGTTTTTATATGGACACACCATCTCTCTCCTACTACTGCGTCAGCTGGATGGGCTCCAGCCACTATCAGCAATGGCACTAGATGAATTGCTGCATATTGCCTCTTAAAAGTTTGGGCGCAGGCACTTTCTTTACCTTATCAGCTCATGCATCATCATCTTGTTAACCGAGGAACTTGACAGAGTTCCAATGATTGCAATAGACATGATGAAGACGCATAGAGTGGAGACGCTAATTGATCGAGTCAGCAGCTCATCCAATGCCATTAGTTTAAGAGTTCTGGAACAGGTAGTTGAGACTAATGTGTATGCAATACCAAATCGGATCTGACGTCACATCTTTATATCACATGAAAGTGTCCATCATCCCAGTGTATCCATGAGGTTTCTGGTCTCAACAATCTCGAGTCATTTGCTTGATTGCGTGGTTATGAGTAAAACTTAAGCTTTGCACTGATTCCATCCGTTCAGAAAGCAATATGCCGTTGTACGCATTAAAGGGTGTAAGCTACTTTATCAGCAATTCACATCTGTGGAAGCACGCAGCATTTCCGTTGTTCTTGACATTGGTCTTCAGCATCGTCTTGGTCTTTCTACTTTTTACTTGGACTCTACGTGCGCAAGAGCATTTGTTGCACGACAAGGGTCTACCCTCGGTACTCTCATGGCTATTTGTCGTCATCTTTGTGGTCGTGGAAATCTTTCTAGTCACGCTATTGTGAACTTCTCTGGTGCTTGAATACTATAAAGACAAGATCTTTGCCTATGTGCTGCGTGATAATGGCTATGGAGCTCTAATGGACCGCGACACCCACGAGTCGGCTGTCCTGCGCATATGCACGTCATTATTCCGCCTTGACGCCATCTTTCATGTGATCCTGCTTATTGTATCGTTGCCGCTACACCTGATTCCTGCTCTCGGTAGCATCATCTACGCATGGTTACACAGCACGTTCATGGCTTGGGAGTCGCATTTATACTACTTCAATCTCAAGGGCTTCAATTTAAAGCAGCAACAGCACTGGATCGACCAACGCAAGTTCCAGTATACGAGCTTTGGCTTTCAAATGCTGTTACTGCAAATGATTCCACTACTGGGTCTGCTATTCATCTTTTCAAACACGTGCGGCGCTACTGGCGATCAAGATGGAGTATGAGGGTGAAAGAGACCGAGTGAAACACAATGATCAACAAGGCAATACTATCTACTTGCCAATAAGAATGCTCCCTACGGCACGGTCTAAACGAATGAAAGGAAGTCAAGGCACAGAGTGTAGTAAGTAGTATTTGGTAAAGACTCTAAGACAAACACGCAAGCCATCGAACGAACAATGTAAGACATTTAGATTAATTTAATCTATCTACTGGCTCAAATGGCTACAAATGTCCTAATTCTTGCAATCTTGTTGCTCTAAAGTGTTGGCTGATTTGCACTAGCCAATCATTGAGAGTAGTGGTTTATCGCCCACTATGACAATATAGACGACCCCTTTTTGTCCAAAATGTAGTGACAAAGTTGGAAAACAAGCAATGCGATTCAAAAACTTCCTACTTCTATTCTAGCATTGCAATGTCTCATTTTCTTAGAGCAAGTGTCGCGGACCGACTGTGAATTCAGTATCTAACATCGTCGTATGATTTTCAAACATCCCGAGCAATATCCGAAACGTCCCTTGCAATTCTGTATCCTGATTGGTGTATATGAAATTTTTGATCCCTAAAGTCCATTAATATCCATCGTAACTCATATTTTGCATCTGATTTTAGATCCCAAATAAATCCAGTTTTTTCAAAACGGATTAAAAGGAGCCACTTCGTACCCACTTTATTTAACCGCCGTGGCACATTCATAGGGTAGCTCAGTTTCCAATTTCTTCGATTCTAATCAAGCACAATCCAAAGATGGCGATTACCTGCGGCGACATTCCTCGTTTGATTTGTTCAGTCATTATCCCACCAGTTGGTGTTTTCTTTCAAGTTGGGTGCACAAAGGATCTTGCAATTAATTGCCTGCTTACTGTGCTTGGGTAAGTCAGCCGTATGATTTTCCTGTCGCTTCTTTCATACAAAAAAATTCTGACTTTTTAATATCTCGACAGGTATATTCCCGGTGTTATTCACGCTGTCTACATTTTGATAAAGGAATAGGCCAGCGCTCTATCTATTACGATTAAACATGGCGCAGTAGTAACTCAGCGGCAATTATTTGACGTGAATATAATTCAAGAAGGTTGACGTTGGCATAGGACATTTTTTTGTGATAGCGGCAATATTTTGAAGCTTTTTTCATCAGGTTGCGTCTGTTAGCTTTTGAATGCTATGGCACCTTTTGTATGCGAAAGAAGTTGTCGCCTTGTTTGTAGGAGCTGTAGCTCTGGTGTTGTGATAGAAATGTCGTTGTTACGAGCTAAAGTAGCAAAAATGTTTGTGATATAATCGGGTAACCATTTCGAATTGACATTGAGACGTGGAACTATGTGTGAGCCCCATGCCTCGAACTATGTGTGAGCCCCATGCCTGCAACTATGTGTGAGCCCCATGCCTTCATCCGTCATCTTCTTCAAGACAGAGGAAAAAGTCTTTGCTGATTTAAACTGCGCTGCTAGCTGCAGCGTCAAAGTGACCACGTTTGGTTGCAACTGTACATTTTCGAGCAGAGGTGTCGGTCATAAAGACATAAAGACGGTGTTCTGGTCATAAAGACGGTGCTCTGGTCATTAATCTTGAGTATATAAGCATCTCAGGGACACGAAAAACGGTTGTATTTTATTAACTTTACCAAGCGGTGCAAATCAAAAAGTAGAGTTAATCTCGCTTTGGATCGATCAGTGAGTTCCTTAAATGCTTTGTAGCTTTTCGCTTTCTGTCAAGAATGCGACAGGATTGCCGTCAGTTTGACGTATGACTGTCTGGATTACCGCACAGATGCTGTGAACAGCAGAGACGAATGGTTTCAAGATGACGGGCGTCTAGCGCGTCAAAAAAGTTAAATCAGAAAAGAAAATCATATCGGATTTTTTGCCGAATGCTACCTTTCGGCAGCGAGTTTGTATCTTTCAATGGGCTGCTTGCGCTCTTGAGTACAAAGCAAATTTGGAAGCGTTATGTTACCTGGTTAACTTACAATACGTGCAAACAATTGGTTGTACTAAAGGATCACTGGCGCCGTCAACATGATACATGACGTTTACTTGTGATGGCGATCAATTAACGAAGCGATTCCTCCTTGTGTTCAAATGTCTACGGCAATAGCATTTACTTTGAGACGCAATTATGCAACGCAGGCAAAATGTAGCTTGCGGTGAAAAATGAAGACGGATAGAAGCGTGGTTGTCGAACAACTTGAAAGATGTAAAGAAGCTGACGAGGGCAAGGCAGTTAAAGACTGATCTGATTATAGAACTACGACGCGATGAATAAGCAGTAGTTGGGAAGGACCCAAATAGCTGACGACGGTGTCGAGAGTTTAAAGGTGTATAATCTGAAAGCAAATGACGACTCATGTAGTCGTGGTCTTTTCAAGCAGAAAGATGATTGTGAGTCGGGGTGCGTCCATGATTTACTACTAATGTTCAACCTTACTTACAAGGTTCAAAAAAGAAGAAGGTAGGGATCATTGATGCTGTAAAGTAGGAGTTAATCAAGCGTTAAGGCACAGAAAGTAGATTCGTGTCACTGCCGCGCAAACTCGTTACGCAATTGTGCGTCAATCGCAAGACATCAATGGCTTTCACAGTTTACACTTGACGCTATGAACACATACCCTCAAACTCGCACGGATTCGCGACTAATACATAAATGGCAAGTGACCATAGTCCAGCGCCCAAATGGATCTAAGCTTAAGTCGCAGAGGAAGCATTGTGTAACTAACTTAAGCTAATTCATGGCAAAATCACTTAAAAGTGGTGCAGCGTGTTTGACCAAGCGATCCGATATCTCAATCGACTATGCGCTGAGCCATCACGAGCAGTAACTATCGACACACCATCATTCTGGTGGATCAGAAGCCACACAGTTGATATGTTGATGCTCAAAAGCGATAATGGCAAGAAGAATTCGGTCTCATTGCATCATAAGGATATTTTCACCACATTGCGCCATAGTGTTGTCAAGTGAGTTTTTTTGACCTCATCTACGTGATATTGAGGACAATGGGATTCATAACGAACTTATAAAACTAGGTTCAAAAGTGATTACAATATGATTCAATGGCTTAGTATAAGTCTATCAACAAAATTGTCAAGTGGCGGTGCAAACGCTTTGGTTGCAAGAACTGGTCGAATTATATTCGTTATGGAGTCATGTTTATTGTAACATTTACATTACGAGCTAATAGAATCCCAGTGTAAATATTTGTCTTCATTTTGTTCTAGCAGCATCGGGTGTTTTGGGCTTAGAGATGATGATAACGCATCAAGAGGCTATAAATTTCGTCCATTTCGTCCAATTGAAGTGTGTGTTTCACTTACAGGAATGACTTGCTCTTATTCGTGGAAAATGAAATACAACTTTGCCGACGAATACGAGGGTAGGGTCTGTGTGCTCTATCAAAACAAAGTATTCAAAGATGGGGCTGCGACAAAGAAAAGACATCGAAGGGAGAGGAAAAAGACAAACAAACATTCATCATTTCACTTGGTAAAAAGTAAGTAAACCAAGTGACTGTGAAGTAAGTTTAGGCACTATTTCCAACTATAATAGAGTAAAGAGTAATATTCTCGACAATAGAAACGGTCATTTTCGCTTCTCTCTTTCATTTCGTCACATTTCAACTTTATATGAAAATGCAGCAAGAGCGAGAAAGTGGCGAGTTGTGTCTAAATGGTTGTGGCTTTTTTGGTGCCCCAGGCAGCGGTGGAATGTGTTCAGTCTGTTGGAAAAAGACCATGTCTGATCGTCAAGTAGAGACAACGTTGACATCACGTCGTTCAATGGAGATGAAGATGAATGAGTTGGTTTCAGTAGAGTCGACTTGTGCTGCTGCTACTACTACTTCAACTACTTCTACTGCTGCTACGTCAACTACTTCTACTGCTGCTCCGTCTTTTGTTGAGGAGATAAGGGAGAGCAAGACAATGTTATTACAGGAAATAGAAGAGAAATGTGTGGAGAAATTAGTACAAAAGAACAAAAAACGCTGCTGGGAGTGTAAGAAGAAAGTGGGACTCACTGCTATGGAGTGTCGTTGTGGCTATGTGTTTTGCAATAGCCATCGATTTGAGGACCAGCACCCGTGCAATTTTGATTTCAAGACGGCGGATCGTGCTGAATTAGCACGTCGTAACCCTGGAGGTGGCACGTTTAGCAAGTTGGAAAAGCTATAAGTGAGCTTGAGATGGTTTGGCTAGTACAAGACTACAAAGACAGACTATGGGTGTGGTGACAGGTCGTGAGTAGTCAAGTGTTGGCTATGCGGGCGTCGCTTGACGGATGTATCCCACTTGAATGAGGCGACGAGTGCGTGGATGGAAGACACAAGACGAAAGAGAGAAGGACGTGTTTAGTGTGGCAGCAGAACGTTGATGGATACGACATGAAGATGTATACTCGAGTCATCATCAATCAGCACTGTGGCCACAAGCTTGCAGAGAATCATGAGCTTGTTGTCATCTATTCACATTTGATACTTTCTTTTCTTCTGATAGCAAATGAATTTGGTTTTCTTTTCAATTAGTTGATGCAGATCAATTGAGTTTTTGTTGTGCAGGGAGAGGAACATCTCATGTTATTATGAAATGGCCTGGTAAGTAGCACGCGATGCTTTGTGTTCCGTGCTACGAAGTTCCTGCAATTTACGTGAGTATCTTTTCAATTCGAACAGACACCAGCGCTTGATCGGGTTCGGGAATGAGCGGTAAATGGAAGGAGGCAGCATGATCAGTGGACTGGTCGAGTGCTTGTACTCGAGGTAGTCTGGATCCAATCCAAAGCGCTCATCATAGCGATCCTCAGCCAGAGGCACACCCGAGAGATATACGAGCAGTAGGAACGTGAACGTAGGACTGATGCAACTGACATAGTAATACCAGGTCTCGTCCCCATTGCTGCCGAAGTTTGCGCTGGCAATGATGGTTATCCCCACCCAACAAAGAATCTCTCCAAAGTAGTTAGGATGACGTGAGTATTTCCACACTCCTGAGCGCAGCAATTTGCCTCT